AAAACATCCCAATAAATATGGAACCCCCATATAAATATACCATGCAACAATATATATTGGAGAAACATATAAAAATAAATCATCAATATATATATATATGCATGTCAAGTAAACTTAAACATTTCGCACATAATTTTTTTAACGATTATTAACTCTCATCAAGAAATAATGTTGCTAACAAAGATCTAGAAAACTATAAATGTTTAAGGTTATGTAGAAATGATGTACAAATAAAAATAAAATCCACCACTATTATTCCTAATTAAAAAACCACATATTTCTATGCTTATTACTAAACCATGAAATGATCTACATTATTAGTAATGAAAGATTAGAAGATTGAAGATGAAGCCAGCGGCCGAGAGCAAGAACTTGCTCCCCCAAGCAAGAACACGGATGAACACATGCGCACAAGCAAAGACCAAAGATTTGACTAGAGTGTCTCGGGCAAGGGGACAGTGGAAGCGGGTATATATAGTGGGGACCTTTAGTCCTGGTTGGTGGAGCCTACCGAGACTAAAGGATCAACCTCTAATCCCAGTTGGAGCCAAAACTTGGGATAAAAGGCCAGCAAGACCTTTGGTCCCGGTTAGCGGTTCCAACCGGGATTGAAAGGCAACCTTTAATCCCGGTTTGAACCACAGATAGGAACTAAAGGTCCCTGCTGCAAAAGTCTGCTGCACCATCCGTTGGGCAGGGGATTCTAGTCCCGATTGGTGGTTCTAACTGGGACTAATTCTTTTATTAGTCCCGGGCCCAAACCCAACCGGGACTAAACCTAGAAAACTGAAAGTCTGTTCTCTACGAGTGACCTGACAAGTGGACCAAACTTTGCATTCCAAATTGATCATGGGATTAGGCTGAGATCACCTCCCAGAGCCAGGACGCGTGACTATTTCCAACAATGGGAACCCAAATACAAGACTCATTTCACGTTTGGGTAGTACTACATACAAATGTTTTAATACACATTTTTATCTTCTCCAACAACAAGACCCAAAAGAGAACCCTTTCTACAAATGGGTCTTCAGGAGAGAGGATACTCAGATTTATGTTATGCCTCTCCTGACACCTAAAATAGGTCTACTGTATAGGTACTCTGTTGGAGATTGATATAGTGCTATCGGAGACTCATTTTGCGTTTAGGTGCCCTTCTGGGTCGCATGTTGGAGACAGTCTAAACGTCTGAAAATAGGTGTTCATCAGGGGCAGCACCTGCCCTGGCTCCACCCCTGCCTTCCAACAGGTTCATAGATGTGCGGATTATTTCGAGCTTTACTTTGTTGAATCTTCTTTGTTGGTGAAAGCTGCTGCTATGCGTGCATTTTAACTGCTGCTGCTGCTGACCGCTAATTTCTTCTGTTCTGTTTGTGATAATTGGACTTGTTTGTTCGTTTGGCTATGGTTTATCGTAAACGATCGTAAATTTTCAACCGTAACAGTATTTTTCTCTCACACAAACCAGCCAGCAGTACTTCTTAACCAGCAACGATATGGACCAGCCAACCGAATAGGCTGTAGGTGCCATGGAGGCTTGGAGAGTCAGAAACCAATACAAAGCTTTACCTGTCCAATTAATCAATTAATGTGTTCTCTGCGGATGGAGAAAAAACTTTCTGTTAGTCGTACCTCTACAAATTGCATCAGGAACCTTTTAAGATTTTCAGCTTGCATTGCATGATGACTTGATGAACAATGTCTACTATCTAGTTGTTGCTACAGTACATAGTACCTACTTGAAGCGAGAAACCAATGGAATAGACCATCTTACGGAGTAGTTTACTTGTCATGTTGATGGACAAAAAAGCTCCACTAGAACAAGTTGGAGGACTCAAAGATTTGCAAGTAGAGACCTCCTTGATTCCTGTATTAATGATTAATGCTATTTGCATAATTGTATAACCTGCAGTCTTATATTAGTTATACTTGTGGGATGACAACAAACACACAGCCTCTTCAGGATTCGATCACAACATCCTGACAACTCCAAAGATTACCCTTTTCTGACTTTAATAATTTCCACTAGACTAGTCTTTGGTTTAGTTGTACCTCTACATTTTCTCCAGATACACAGGATCCTGTATGATATGCGCCATCATGTACAACAGATGGTCCGGACCTGCTAGCTAGTTGCAGCTAGTGTATATACCTCAAGTTGATGCAAGCATGACTCTGCAACATGATCCCTGGCCTTCTCCAATCAAAGTATATATAATATACAGTATATAATAGCTTATTGTCTGAGCTGCAGCAAGTAGCTGTCTAGTAATAATTACAAGATTAATTGGCATGTGAGTGTAGTTAGGGCAATTCATCGATCCAACTTGAGTAACTCGTCGATGCTGGCAAAGTAGTCCTGTGTGCTGTGCTGTGCTGGCACTGCACTACTGCTAGAGTGCTAGCAATATATGTAATTGCTTTTGGCAATAGACATGATTGCAAGAGGATAGAAAAAGGAAAAAATGAAACACAAATTCTTGCAGGCCTTCGTTTTCCTGGCCTAAAACAAGATCACAAACGACAATAGCAACACGAAGTCCCAAGTTCCAGTTTTAAATGGTCAAGTTGGCCATGTTCGCCGGCCTACACTATTTGTCAACTGGCTAATTACTGATTAGGCCATGTGATGTTGGGAGATGAGCAGTTTACCAGTACAGGAAGCCGCTCAATCTAAGCAAAATTTGCATATATTAATTTTATATTCAGCATCGGAATCGCTGTTGGTGACAATTTTAACCAATCCTGCTCGGAACCGGTGCCAGCAAGTCTGAATTTTCAGTTTTTAAAAGATAGCCAAACTAAGAGCTCGATTATGCTGTTCCTAGAAGTTAACTATCACGTGGCTATTTTTATTTTTATTTTTTTTAAAGAAGGAAAGAGCGCTTAACTGCATTACGGTGGCTTCAACATGAGAATGATGTTACGGAGTTGCAGGTGTCAAAATCAGAAGTATATAACTGAATCAAAAGATCATATATCTTTTAGTAGTTTGACAGCATAGCATATCATGACATGACCTGACGACAATTAAAGCGAAGTAATTGCATGATTAGTTAAAGCTGTCCTAAATAGTTTACTATTTGTTTGCTCCACCTGAGAAGGTGGCAGCGCTTGGATCACAGATTTGTTGGCTTTTGCATGTGCACACAGCCATATATTTTTCAATTGTTGTATAGCACTTCACCTAGCTGGTACAATGCAACAACATGGTCTTCAAACAATTAGCATGTGTGACCCTCATTGGCAGGACCAAGACAAACATTGGACTCTTTTGATTTTCCTTTATGATTTTCTTCAGATTTTCTTCGGATTGGACTCAGGAGGCAGTTGGCATGGAAAGGTTTATCTCCTATTTGTACTTTTGATTTGAATCCCCTTTCTGGGGATTTGCTTCGAGCTGTAGTCTAAAGCTTGCAGGTTCAGCATAAAAAACCGTACGCCATTATCACATGGATCTCCTAATTAAACAATTGGCGAGTGGCGACAGTGCAATATATTGGACGCAACTAAAGTTCAGAAATTCCACTCCGCCTCCAACAACAGATGTGTACACACATCCTTACAAAACTGTCACCATCGGAGGGTACCTACTGTAGCTCATAATTTGGTTCAACGAAGCTACATGTTCAGCAGACATGGAAAACAGACTGCAGATTATGTGGAAACAGCCCAGAAACGCCATCACACCTATGCAAAGATTGCCCATTTGCTCAGCAGACATGGGAATATATCAAGCAGTGGTTCGGACTAGCGGCACTTGATTCGGTAGATTCCACAGGATCACTGCATAAATACTGGTGGAAATGTAGGAGGAAATTCGACAAGAGACAGAGACGAAGTGTGGATGGTATTCTAATCTATTTTTGGTGGAATATTTGGAAGGAGTGAAATAGAAGAAATTTCCAACACAAAAGTTTAAGTCCGAGGCAGGTTGCTCTCTTATGCAAGGATGAAATTGCTCAATACTTTCTGGCCATGGCACCGGTGCAGCAATCAGATGAGTCACAATAGGGGTTTCAGTTCTTCAGTTATGTGTACAGTTGAAATGAGTTGTGTTTCCTCAACAGTGCACGCCCCTTTGGTTTTTGGTTTTTTATTATTGGCTTCCTTCTTTAATTCAGTCGCCTAGTTTGCTTAGTTGGTAACCAGGGCGTGGCTGTCGGTTTGTAAATATTTGTTGGTGCTTCTTCTGTTTTTTCTTTTCTACTGTCTAATAAAAACTGCAGCAAAGCTTTTGCCGTCCTTTCTAAAAAAAAAAGCTACATGTTCATGAAAGAATTTCTTACACAACACCTTGGCTGTAACTATCAAGCTTAATTTGGAGCTGAGGGAGATAGAGATAGGCTACTTCAATTCTTCAAACAAACAGTTACGTTGTGGGACGGTTCTAGCTAAAACGAGTGTCACTGTCGCCCAACCTACTGAATCTTTTTTTTGATGAAACGGGAGGGGCAAGCCCCTACTGAATCTTATGACAGGCTCTGTTGAGCTATATATGCCGAAGACTTGTTTATACAGACTTGGTGCAGCATATACATCACATATTTTCTTAGCAAAAAGAAGATAATACGAGATCTTCTCGGATCAGCGCCGTGATATCACCAAAAGTAGACAGAGGAATAAATCGCCTTGGCAAAAAAAAAATTAGGAACGCGTGTGCAGATCCAACCATGCAATCGTGCTGCAAGTCGTTGCCTTCTCTGAGAAACGCAAGGAGCACGTGAACGCCTTCTTCACAACAGAAGGGGTCCGTAATTCACACCACCGGCCGGGCCTGTATAAAAGCATCACCGATCGAGAGAGAAGTCTTGAAGCAGTGGGAACTGGGTAACATAAGGAAAAAACAAATCAGAGGTGCGTGTTCAATTCTTTTGATCTCCGAAAAGGAGTTCTTTGCATATTTTTGGTTAGAAATCTCGCTGTTTCTTTCTTCTGATTCGTATTTCTTGCTCTTCTATCTTCTTGTGCGCTATTAGTGATTTGGAGGATATATCGGGGCGATGGATGAACTCAACAAATGGCAATCACATCCGGTAAGACTGCTAAGAACTAGCACGAGAGCCACCTGAAAACTTGAATGCTTCGACTAATTCTTGATTCTTGCCCCTTTCAGGACTACTCTGAGGAGGAGCTAGCATACATGTACAGGCAGCAAGAAGAAGATCACGCCGGGATGCAACAGCAACACCATTTCGCCGAGCGACAGCCCGAGCAGCTGCAGTACTACACACCACCAACAATGGCGCCGCCTAGGTCCCCTAGCCCCTTCCTTCCTCATCATTACCACCACAGCTCCAGTTTCCCGGGTTTTGGGGTCCCGGCATTACCCCGGCCGCTGCCGTTATTCGGGCCGGTCAAGAATGAACCAGGGCAGCCGTCATCGTCGTCGAGCAATCGCATCCTCTCCTTCGGCGGGCAGCCTCCAAGCACGCTTGACTTCTCCTCAGGAGGAGATTGGCCGGAAGCCGGTGTTGAAGCGGTGCAGCAGATGCCGCCGGAGAGGCGGAGCCGGACGCACTGGAACACGCAGGAGCATGTCATCGCGGAGCGCAAGCGGCGCGAGAAGATGCAGCAGCAGTTCGTGGCGCTGGCCACCATCGTCCCGGACCTCACCAAGGTAATGCATAATTGCATATCGATCGTGTTCTTGTGTGGTCGTTCTCTAATCCAAATAGGCTGTTGACAGTGGATCTGTGAGTGGATTCTCCTGCTGTGTGTTTTCATGCTATACCTTGAATAGATATAGATTACGAAAGGATAATTTGATATAAATCGAAACTGAAGTATCACATGAGATGGAGATGCGGGTGGACGCTGGCCGCGCGCAGTCGAATTTAAACACCGGACGACGATGGCGTCTGGCGGCTCCGTCTCGCACTCTCGCCTCGCGGCAGTTTGTGGAGCAGCATAGGGGCGCGACTGCGCGAGTGCGTGAAGAGGTGCCTGTGACCTGGACGGTGCTGCGTCCAACTCCAACGTCCATTGCTGCAGCCTGGATTTCGCCGCACTTGGTCTTGGGGAGGTGCACGTGAACCGGCGGCCGGCGGCAGACACGCCGCAGTTACTCACACGCGAGGACGGGGCCTGTGTGTGTGGCTTGGCGCTGGCCTTTGGCGGCGCAGGGTGCAGGGAGCCGGGAGCCGGTGAGGGCACGGCAGTTCTGGACTCCTGGATCCAATCCAGTTAGGTCGAGTGGCGGTCTGCGAGACGAACAGGCGGGAGCGCCGGGCGCCGGCTCCCCGGGCTCGGCCCCCGATTGAGTTCATCGACGAGTCCAAAACGAGGTAGCCAGCAGGACGTGCTGAAAAATATAGTTTTTCTCAATATATATATATATATATATATATATATATATAGGAGTATATATTTTTACAAAGTATTAAAAGTACGGTTCTTGAAAGAATTTCCTCGTACAAGTCTAGTAATAACAATATGACATTGTATGGTTTGTGTAGTAAATCTACATCGCAGTGCGTATTATTAGTGTGTCACGGACATATATAGGGCCTACTATTTGAATGTCAGTTTTCAGAAACCATGATAAAGAGGTTAAACAACTACAACCATGTTTCGCAAAAAAAAAAAACTACAACACCATGCATGAATTCCCGTAATAAAACAAAACAGAACCATTAAATTTCATGGTTTAGAAAAAACAGATCTTAGTAGAGTTTCAAGCACATGTTGGTTAATTTTCAAAAAAAAAATTGTGGAATTGCTGTTGTACTATACTTTTTCAAAACTACAAAAAGGGCCTTGTATATTCAAACAAAAAGCTAATCCCCACTATGAGCCTATCTCAACATGTAAGTCATCAATATCATCCCCAACTAACTACTCATTTCATCCTCCACAAATAGCTACGTCATCCTACTAACTTCCAACCTCTTAATTGCAAACTATCCATATACATCATCTCAACTCAATTTTATTTCAAATTCTTCAGAATCTCTGTAGCAACGCACGGGGTATCTTCTAGTATATATACATGAAACAACAATACAAGAACAAGCAAGAGATTTCTATTATGCTATATATCTTTTAATCAACCAATATTTAGTATAGTGTGGTGATAATGGCTTTTCTTTGAAGATCACATTTTTTTTATGGATTCATGTATGTGCTTACTTATATTTATGATTTAATTTGAGGATACAAAAGTTATATATATGCATCTCCTTGAGAGAAACAAATCCGACTACTCAGGATAAAAATAAAGGATCTGACTCCTCTCTATTAAACTACTCATGAATAAGGGTTTCGTAAAGTACCAATTAATTGCTCCTGTGGCAAGTAACAATGAACAAAATAGATAAATTAAGATATTGTATTGGATTAATCAATCTTATGAGAGAGATGATGTACCAATATACTCCTCATACAGAAGTTATCAGATTTTACTATGAATAAAAAAACTTATATGTTGATACCTGCATCCAATAATATGCTCAGCGATGAGAAAATCAAGATTCAATGGTTTTCATAGCCTGTTCAAGTTGCGCCCTGGATTCTTGTTCCCAATTAAGGAAAAGATTAACTTCAATGCAAACAGCATAATCGTGTGTCATTATTTTGTTTTACTCAGCATGTAGCAATTTTATGAATTAGCACTGGAATGTAGGTGGCTTCTGTGGACGAATAGGTTATGTTAGTCTATGCTTGCACGTGTTCATGGTAAAGGAAAACTGACAATTGAGCTTGTGGCTTGAACCAAAAAAAAAAAGGGTGCACACCAATGTGAAATATGTGTTTTTGGCGTGAAATTCGATAATACCTACACCAAATTAATAAAGTGCAGTTGAGTAATACCCGTGCTCTTAACCAGAATGAGACTACCATAAAAAGCCTAAACTAAGCAAAACATATATTGTGTGAAAGTCGTAACTAAATGTAAACCTTTGCCTAGGAAGTATACTGACCTCTTTAGCGATTACTTAATTAAAATATTGAATTGTACATCTATCTACGGCCATCCAGAAATTGTCTCCAATAGACCTAAAAGGGTCGTGTGTTGCTTCAGTGAAGCAGTACGTGCCGTGTTGCTGGCCGCTTATATATTGCCACCGTGCTTCTTACACAATTACAAATAATAATATGCTCTTTCTCGCTCTTGATTGTTCCTTAAATGTATCACAAACTTGTTGGGCCACAAGATTTACAAATCTGTCCTAGTGTTTGTTTGCGAATGGATGCTGGTTATTATCCGGCCCCTATATTATTTTCTAATAATGTAAGCAAGAGTATACCTATAATTGTAGTTTGGATATATATATTTTGGGTACTTCCCGAGAGTAATAAGAGCTATAGCGTGACACGGAAAAATAAACCGGCAACTTAGCAACTTTAGTCTGTAGGCATATATCGAAATAATAAAAGGCCACCACATCAGTCACCTACTAGTACTAGCTAATAGTTGTTAGAAGATGTTGGGTTGTATACTAAAATTATTGAATTGCTTAATTGGAAGTTGGATCTTGAATGGAAAAGGTGATTTATATATGCTTAAGGAAAATAAGCCACACAGACACTAGTAAATATTCAATCACTAGTTAAACTTATCCTGTATCAATGGGCGACGATGCCTATGAAGTTTTGAAAGATGGACGAGGGGCGTGGAGACTTGCTGGTGACTTGGTTCAAACTGTAATAGAACTTAGGTCGAATCAGTATGAGCAAACTATATATTTATTTAATACATGATATTCACTCATGAGGTGTATTAAACGACCTGAACTTTTCAGACAGATAAGATATCTCTACTAGGGAGCACCATCGAGTACGTGAAGCAGCTCGAGGAGAAGGTGAAGACCCTGGAGGGGCAAAGGGAAAGGAGAACGTCCGAGCCCACCGTCTTCGAGAGAAAGTACCGCATATCAAATGATAGTAACGCCTCATGCTCCAGCGGGAGCACCTTTGCTGCGGGTGGGTTCAGCCCGACGGTTGAGGCGAGCATACATGGCGACACCGTCTTGCTGAAAATATGTTGCTTGGAGAGAAGAGGAGTGCTGGTGATGATCATCTCCAAGCTTGAGAATCAAGGCCTCTCCATCATAAACACTAGTGTTCTGCCGTTCATAGACTCATGCCTCAACATTACCATCACCGCAAAGGCAAGGCGCTCTTGTCTCTCTCATGTTTAATCACCACGAGGTGTTTTTTTTCTTTTGCAAATAATCACTCTGACGTGTTGTTTAATTAGCTAGGAGTAGTTAGTGTATGACTGTATATATGGTTATTGTTCAACGTGTTGGATGGTAAACACTTCAAGTATCAGAAGACGGTTCCTCATAGTTTTTTATGATATTCAGAAGTTTGACCCTTAGTTTTGATTTTATGCAGATTGGAGCAGGATTTTCGTCAACAGTTGAACTCATAACCAACCTGACCGCAACACTCAGAGGTTTTAGTAGTTGAGAGGTTGATACAGACGGGAAGAAAATTAGAGTAGCGAGAGTGGAATGTAAATCACGTCTTCTTCTTCTTCTTTTGTCAAGGAAAATTACATCTTCTCCGATGCTCTAAAAGTTATGGTTTTAATTGTTTTTTCCCTTCTTTATAGGGTTTGTGGGTTAGGGGTAGTAGAGGTGAGGGGATCATATACTAAAGCACGTTTGAAATGAAACACTTGTATAGATCCTCTCTCTATTTCTTTTTAGTATGCTTTGTGTACATTCTTTCATTTGTTTTAGTCCTTTCATGAACAACAGAACAAAGTTGTCACGATACCAGGAGTACGTTCTTCAAGATCATGATACCTTACATGATCCAAAAACAACAAATGCTGAAACTTTTTAGATAAGAAAATATTAACATTCCGACCTTCAACAATTCACAAGTAAAGTACAGCCGTTTATATTATATAAACTCATGATGCTTAGACCACATGTCACCATACGGTTGTACAAAGTTACAAAACACAAAGTAACAACACTCAAGTCCCTATCCTAATCTAACTTCCCCATCCAAACTTGTTGTAGCTAATATCATGGCCTCCCACAAGCGACTGCCTTCCTCTAGTGAAAACAACACGCAATATATATATCTTGCACAAATTCAAAACTCGGCCTCCAAGAGGTTGGGGTTCCAAACCTGTCGATTGACATTGCACGAAGGCGGACCTCCAAGGCGACGCCTCCAAGAAGGATAACCAACGAGAGTCACCAAAGTCGCTCGCCACAAAATCCGATGCAAGGTTTTCACCTGAGATCAGTGGACACAGGATAGTTGTGGAGTACTACCATGACAACATCTTTAGGAAGGAAAACAGCGCTCAAAGGCATTGCCATTGTAGAGACCGGTAAGATCCCCAGCAAAGCTTTCGCTAGCACCTCCACAACACCCCACCCACTATCCACACACAGAAACAGTCCGCCACCTACACCGTTGACCACAAACGGACTCCACACCGTTGATGCATTGTGAATGTTCGGCCTCTACCGCAACTATGCCACACCTGCATTGTCCATGAACCGCCTCTACACGCCTCACATGTGTGGCCACCACGCCACTACACATCCTGTTGACCCCCTGACCCTAGTCATCTTCTTTTGGCGTAGCCAGGGGCGGAGCTAGAATTTAGATATAGGGGCCGGGTCATTGAGTGTCCACAAAAAATGTATAGCATCATCAAAATGTTAATGTCGATTTAAAAAATATCATTTTTGATGTTGGCTTAAAAAAATTCTAATAAATCATCTTTAGAGCATCTCTCAAAGTTTTGTAAAACAACCCCCAATTTTGACTTTTTAGCAAAAAGGGGAAAAGGTGTCCTCCGGCAGTTAAGTAAAAGAGCTCCTTAAAAATAAAAAATTACCAAATATCATATTCAACTCGTAAGTTTCTACGGTCGAGAGGAACTTCATATTCGCTCCCTAACATTTTTCTTAGGAGATCGGAGTAAATTGGACTCATGGGTAAATTAATAAAATAATGAATTTCGGATGAGAAAGCGGTAAGAGATAAAGAAACTATTTCACATACAAATATGTTAAAGACAAAACTCCATTCACATACAACTCACAAAAAATGCTAGAGATTCCCATTTTTGGATGTTTGATGGGGGTGGAGGACCAATTCTTAAAACTAGGCGAGCTTAGATAGGATAGGGAACCCAAATCTGATTCTAGGGGGATACCTGATTTGAAAGAGTTCCGTTTAAGTCCTAACTCAAATATAATATAGTTCGGCGAAAACAAGTTACTGTTGCAACAACTCTTGGCACTACACCGTTTAGTGTTTCCTTCACAAGAGCATTAGTATGTAATATATTGTTAGAGTGGCACACCTAATAGCAATGCTGCGAACATCGATTTACATGAAGAGATACTTTTTACTTGCTTAATTTTTTTTGCTGCTTTACAATAAACTCCATGTATAGATATCTTGTTGACATGTCAAACGGTGTGGACCTTCATGTTTAAAGACATACCGGAAAAGAACAAGGCCCCCGCGTCGCTCAGTCTGGGTGGCTCAGGTGCGACCCTAGGCGCCGCCACACACTCCGCCGCCCACCCGCTCTCTCACCTCACTATCACCTGAGCGAGCCACCGGAGGCTGATGAGGACGGCGGTGGCAGGGCCCTCATGGCTGGTCTTTCTTTTGGTGGAGTGTGTCAGCATCTAGGAGATTTTTGTGGTGATGGCGGCATGTTCGCTTAGATCCATGCAGAAGCTGCATGGTGGCTCAGATCCTCACTGGACGAATGTGGCAGAACCACCCAAATTATATGGCCCACATGCACCTGTCATTGTCCTTAAGACCTCTGACTGCTGCACATGAGAGCCAGACAACTCGGATAGTCTGTCGGGTGTCCTCGGAGAACCCCGAATCATCCATATTTTACAACTCATACATGATCAACAATGAAGTTGCCACAACATTACAACATTTGGTACAAAAACAATATACATCAAAGTGTGGAAGACATAACATTAGTTTACAAAATATGTTTAAGTAAAACTTAACTTTAGATCCAAAAGGTGAATAGAACAGCGGAAGCAAATTAGAAGAAGCACCTAAGGTAGAAGAGACATCCAGATCATGTCGAACCCACCAATATGACCTTAATTAGCAGCACAAGTCAGAACCTACAATAGGGGTTAACAAACCCTGAGTACTTGAGGGTACTCAACAAGACTTACCCGACTAAAAGAAAAGACTCCAAGGGTATGCAGGCTTAAAGGTAAGGTAGAAGCAAGAATAACTTTTGCAGAAAAACTTACTATGAGTGGATCCTTACTTTCAATGTTTTAGCTATGTATTGAGTCATTATCAGTATCCGATTTGCACCTAGTCTAAATCAATCACTTCATTAAGCATCTCATCTCTTCTCATATCATTTCCATAAGTAACCATATTTCATTGATTAACTACGATGTATGGTCAGAGGGTCGAGTCTCTATAACCAAGGAGCAACGACGATTCGAACCGATTAAAACCCAGCTGGAGATTCCCAACCACACGATATATGCAGGTCCCTGGCCTACAAATATCAACCATTCCCACGGATCCTCCAAAACATGAACTGGATCGCACCACCGGGAGCATAGTACTCCACCACCCTGCTCCGTCCCGGACGGCTATCTTGCAGGTTGGGTACATGCTACTCCCGCCATCTCACCACTACCAGTTTGCGTTATCAATTCGCATAATGGAATAATCGAGGTACTCAGGCTTACTGGAGTATGTGGTCAGTACTGCAAAGTCTCGAACACACGGTGGCCTATAACGAACGGTCCTTAATCGACACAGACAGGACAAGCACGACCAGGCAACCCTATCGGCTTAACTACCAGAGACATATCCCATGTCCCGTCCGGTCTCAAGTTATTCAAATTCATTATTAAGCCTTAGAACATCTCCTGAGTATCGAACCATTGCGAATGATGAAATCACCACTTGACTATTATCAACTAAGCATGGCTAAGCATAACTAACCTATGATAACTAGCAGGGTGACAAGGAATAGTATTGAAATGGCAAGGTAGTCATGCATCAATTGGTAATCAATCAACTCCTAATCTTACTTAATGCAACAGCCATAAGACTTAAGTGATTAACGTTTATAAAACACAAGGAATGTGTTTATGCTCCGGGGCTTGCCTGCATTGCGGAGAAGGTTAGTTCCACCAAGGATCTCTGGATTCATCAACACCATGGGTGGATAGACCTCCTCCGAAACTTTGATCCACACGAGTCTTCTCACTCTCGTATACTACACGTAATAAATGATGCATGCTTAGCAGATGGAATGCATGACATGATGCATGATGAGAGACACACAAGTACCTATATGAGCTCAAACATAGTTAACAAACTTGAGTACAATTTTCCTTCACGGTGTAACTAGGGTTTGTATTTGCCAAAAATACATTTTAAGTTATCAACATACAAGTTGATTACAAGATCATTAAGAAAGAATCTAAACTATCATGAAACAGCAGGGGTTTTACATGTTACAAGGTTCTCAAACAATGATCAAAACACACCAAGATCATTTAACCATTTTTCTAATTCATTTTAGTATTTATTAATTAAGGAAAAGTCATTTAAACATACTTAAATTAATTAACCAAGTTAGAATTATCAAAACAGTACCAAACTTTTTTTGGAGGTAGATATTAGCACATGACATCTACACAAAAAGTTTCATGATTAAAGTATAATTATTTTACCCTATAAAAATCATGCAAGGTCCATTTATTAATTAAAAGAGGTAATTTTTAAGCACAACAAAACTACTGAAAATGACCATTTCATATTTTTCAATTGTAGAGCATATCATAACAAGCTTACAGAACAAATTTCATAATTTTAGCATGCACCAATATTTAGTTAGGAAATTCACAAGTTTCAGCTGAAAACACAAAAAGAAAAAGGAAAATCTTGTAGTGCACTATTCATCTGAGTCACAGTTTCTGTATAAAACCGCCTGGAAGAGCTTCTATTGTTGCGCGAGGTCCCTGGTCGCGATTTGAACAGAGGAGGCGCACGGCGAGGCTTGGTTCCGGCCGGTTGATGCTCGTCGGCGTCGAGGGAGAGGTGCGGGGGCATATCCATGTCTAACCGCACCTGTGGGAAGTCGAAACACGGCCGGAGATGGTCAGTGAAGGGCCGGCCACACGCGACGGCCATGGCGGCA